CTTGCGAGTTGTGATGGGTAGTAGCGGCTGTAAAGAGGTCCGTACAGTGCACTAGTGATAGGACACACTGGTGTGTCACGCCTGGGGCTACCCGTCACGGGATACGCCAGCCCACGTCACTATGATGTCACTCTTTCCTCTTAGCAAACATAGTGACACCTGAATCCTTCCTTTCACAGTCTTGACACTTGTCCAATTAAAACTACTCTGACAGACCCCCAATGGCGATAAGATAAACTAACATAACACGTCGAAACTTTGTGGAACATGGACGAAAATATTCCAAGAAGTACTGCGGAAATGTTTAAATGGTGACATAAACTCCACACTCTCAGATTGCAATGCTGTGCAAAACGAACTGAGATACGTTATAATGATTTACGTCATACTATGCCGGAGACGAGATAAGGTTAACTATGCCACATGATGGTGGTGCAATACGTGATGGAATTCCTCGGGAAAGTATGTAAATTCTTGAGTACGATGATAACCATTACAGTGAATTAACTCACTGACCATCACGGGTACCCTGACTTAACCCATTGAGTACATTGACTTAATCCCTTGAGGGCGACGAAGTATTCCCTTGTCGACGATGGTACTGTACTATGGGGATTTAAGTCATCGCAATCATGAGATTAGTAATACTACAGACTCTAATCACCGGATTGAAACACTGGTGCCCCTCTACTTACACAAACATATGAACGTGTGTCATGATATGTTTGAAGTACGATAAAATTGGAACTGCATCAGCGAGTGTGACGAACAGCTGATGATAAGAGTAGGGGGCGTATGTGATGACGTGAGTGGTAATGAAGTGTTTTGGTTAGGGCAGCTATTCCGTGGTTCAAGGAGAGGGGTATAGGGTAGACGTGTGTTTCGATGACCACAGTACACACCTTCCCTCTCTCCCTGTCTGCGATTCCTATGATTTATTCATGCCCTTTGAATCCACGATACCTGATGTCATTACTAGGAGGTGAAGTCAAAGGATTCAGGAGGCCTCTTCATCAGTTGCCTACTACTTGAGCATCATCCCTGGTCCAGCCCTTTCTATTATTCTTGTCATCTTGTAAACAACATCCCGTGGTGTTTGACAGCGTTTATTCAGTCAACGACCCAATTCCTGGCCACCCTTGTTGAATAACGGCAGTGGGAGGCGGCCGCTTAGTAGCTGATGACAATATGTTTACCTCTCCTTGGACCAGCAAGTGATGCTTAGTGAGAGAGAGAGAGAGAGAGAGAGAGAGAGAGAGAGAGAGAGAGAGAGAGAGAGAGAGAGAGAGAGAGAGAGAGAGAGAGAGAGACAGAGACAGAGACAGAGAGACAGAGACAGAGACAGAGACAGAGAGAGAGAGAGAGAGAGAGAGAGAGAGAGAGAGAGAGAGAGAGAGAGAGAGAGAGACCCCACATCACAATATCAGTGTCCTAGCCTTGGTCTAGAAGATAACACAAGCAACCTGATGCCAGAGGGGGACGAGCAACACCCATGATAACATTGTTTCCTCTGGCCACTAACAGGCACACAGCACCACACAATACAACCACACTGTTATCCTGCTACCGACTCGTGGCACTTGACTTCTCTCTTCAAAATATTCACGTCCCTTCATCATTAAGTAGGGTTGTTACACGTCTGTAGAGCATGTTGTTGTCATTAACCATCACATCATCATCATGGCGGGCATTCCACTCATAGGAGAGGAAAGACCTGGTGATATTGTTCAGTTAATCATCATTTTCATTTGTTTACATCAGCATTCACAACCGAAAACCCATGCATGATACTGTAACGGGGATTTTCTTTATGATTTATTTAAGTTACTTATTTTTGTGACGAGTTTATGTTTATGCTTAATTATTACCCGTTTAACTTAATTCTGTTTGTGAAGGAAGTATTTCATTCCTTATTAAAATAATATAATGTTAATGTCCTCACTCGTTGTATAAGGAATAAGAGAACAATGTTGTCACTTGTCCATCAGTAGTGGGGAAATCCTGTTAGTTATTACTATATAAATCAAGGGAAGTTAAACGGAGAAACTTAACTTATTCTTATTTCATGAAGACACAGGACATAATATATGATTATATGTCACAGCCCCACATTTAGCTGTTACCCTACGATACAAGGATTACTTAGGGAAATGACCGCCTTCTCCACACACATCGCAGCCACCCCACGGCACACATGACATCAAGCTTTGTCCTCACGCTACACAAACCCAGCTTTGTCTTCATGCTACTCACACCCAGCTTTGTCCTCACCTTACACACACCCAGCTTTGTCCTTACCCTACACACACCCCGTTTTGTCCTCACGCTACACACACCCAGCTTTGCCCTCACCTTACACACACTCAGTTTTGTCCTCACGCTACACACCCAGTTTCGACAGACTAAAGTTTTTCAGAGAAAGCTCACCCGTAATTCAGTTATATGTATTTCACTATAGAATCACTAGTTCTTTTTCAAACATCACAAGTCTCATTTCTGCTTTGTGATATTGAGAGCGGTCAGCAGGCATTGGCACAACGGGATATCCGTCTATACAGATTAACAGTTTGGCGTGACTAATTGTGTGGCAATTAAAAACACAAGACCAAGTCTCTGTTCCTTTCTGTGGGAACTTATGTTTTGGGTGTGGGTGGACGGTTATGTGGGTGGCTATGGGGGTGTGGGTGGAGCGTTATGTGGGTGGTCATGGGTGTGTGGGCGGCCCTCGAGGTAACAGCTTTCTATAAGGAAAAGTGACAAAATAAACTAAGCGAAATAGTAGTGACTTATTATAGTAACTATGTTACTAGACAAATAGATAAACTAAAACTTAATAAGTCACGAAGTTCCGATGAGATATATGCTAGAATATTAAAGGAATGTCTGGAAGAACTGTAGTAATACCATTTATATATAATAGAACAGACAAGAACAGTGGTTCCCATAAGAGGGGTTAATTACGCTATTGAGTTAATTTGACGTTTTTAATGGGGTTAATAGGTAGTTTTCCCAAAATATAGGAAAGTACATAAAGTGCATGATCAAACAACGCACTAGTCCAGGTCTGTTTTTCCTGCACCCTCTTCGTGGAAAAAAAAGCCCGAACCGGTACTATGTGTCATCTGATGCAATATTGGCACTATCCACCACCAAGCCCCGGTTCCGGTGGTTGGCTGCAACAAAGCAACCTTATTCGTCTCAAAGGTTATTGTCATGTTTGGGCTGTTTATGAAGTTTGTATCTTATAAAACCAGAGTTGAGAGAACAATAAAATTTGTTTTTGAACAAAAATGCTTTCATCAATCTTATGATCGCAAATTATGATCCAGTTATAAGTTGTGACATCAAGTGGGGTGGGACCCATGTTGTGGTATGTCACCAGTAGAGGCCTATAACCAAAAGTAAACTTAAATCGTTACTATTTATTACAGACATCAACGACATATACCTGTAGGCGTTGGCAACAACATACATGTAAGTGAATTTGCTGACGACACAAAAATAAGGCGCATAATTAAATCTAACGAGGACTGAAAATTTACAGGAAGATCCAGAATTGTTTTTTTATTGTGAGCTGTAAAATGGCATATGCGATTTAATGTGGACAAATTTCAAGTTCTAAGGCGAGGGAAAAGAAACAGAGGAACCAGCTATCAACTGAAACAACGCAGATATTGAAAATCCGAATATTATGCTTTTGTTCGAAACATGAGTTCATATGAAGAGTGCTAGTAAGAGGACAGGCGTTCTCGCGTATGTGACACCTCACCTGGATTATGCGGTCACCGTACTATAGAATGGATATCGATTCCCTAGAAAAAATTAGGAGGAAGATGACAAAGCTAATCCCGGCCATTACCTTGAGTATAAGCACAGGTAAACAAAACTGAGTTTGCTTTCTCTCGAGAGACATAAAGTGGGGGGGCAATATGGTGGAGATGTATAAATGGAAAATGGGGTTAAATAAAGGTGATATAACTAAGATACTTAAACTTTCAAAACAGGAGAGAACACATAGCAATAGTTATAAATTATACAAACTTAGTTTTAGGTGTGAAACAGGAAAACAAATTACATAACACCATCATTAACTCGAACTCGCTGGGAAGTTTTAAGTATAAGTTGGACAGATATATGAGTGACAAGGACTGGGTATCAATAGGCCCACAGCAGTTTTCTCCATTCTTAAGCTACGTACAATAACGCGTACAGGTGACAGACATCTAAGAAAACATATTGTGGATGGGCAAAATTGTTTTTGAAATAGTGAAAAATAATTATATTACTTATTATTATCATTATTACCACAACCATGACGATCATTATTGTTATAGAATATGTATATATAATAATACTGTACCCTGCTTTTTAACTATGCCTGTTCTCTATTTCGTTATGTCTTTTTGTTTATTCCCTTCATCATATTTTGTCATATTTCTCCACCTTTTCCTTGGCTACGGTATCACTCCTCTCCACTGTGCCTCTTCCTCTACGTCACGTCGTACCCCCCATCCCTATACTGAGATACCCTTCCCTCCCCCCATCCCGATACTGAGTTACCCTTCCCTCCCCCCATCCCGATACCTCCCTCCCCATCCCGATACAAGTTGCCCTTCCTCCCCCATCCCGATCAGAGAGTTGCCCTTCCTCCCCAATCCTGTACACCCCTTTCCCCCATCCTGCTGATACCCTCCCCATCCCGATACAGAGCTGCCCTTCCTCTCCCCATCCTGATACGTTGTTTCCTAATTTCCTCCCACACTTGTAGTATTTTTATGCCTGTATCAACATTCTTTCAAACTTGGGAGGTCCCACCACCTGCCTCTATGTCTGCCACACACCTACCCTCCCAAGCCTGTCACACCCTGCAAACTCACCACCCTACCCTTTATATTCAAGCACACCCACCACACCTGTCCTTATAAGCTTACCCACCACCTACCCAAGCCCACACCCTGCAAACTCGCCACCTGTCTTGCTGCTCCACCACACCACACCCTACCTCTAAGCTACACCCTGCCTCACCACACCCATCCCTTATATCTGCCACCCACCACACCTGTTCCTTATGTTCAAGCCTGCTCCTTATGTTCGCCACACACACCACACACCCACCCCCTTTTACGCCTGTCACCCCACACACCCACCTGTCCTTATGTCTGCCACACCCACCACATCTGCCCCCTTATGTCTGCCACACCCTACACACCACACACTCTCTTATATCATGTTCCACCCCACACCTGTCCTTATATGTTTCCACACCACCACACCTGTTCTGTCTTGCTTACACACCTACACACTGCCACCTACCCCCATATATCTGCACCATGACCATGTCCCTTTACCACCACACCTGTCCGCCACACCCAACACACTCCACTCAGCATTTCTTATGTCACACTTGCACACCCAACTATGATTAAGTTTCCACCATACCTGCCCACACTTCTCGTTATGTCTGCCACACCCTAAACACCCACCACACCTCCCTCTTATGCCTGTCACACCCTACACAACTATCACACCTGCCCCCTTATGTCACACCCCACACCCACCACACCCCCCTTATGTCTGACACACCCTACACACCCACCACAATTGCCCCCTTGTGTCTGCCACACCCTACACACCCGCCCCCCTTATGTCTGCCACACCTCATACCCCCTCACGCTAAGCCCTAAGCCAGCACACCCTAACACCTTTCAGCACAGCTCCTTCCTTCACCCACCATCCTGTCTCCCCGCCACCCACCTGTAGGAGGGAGATAGTTCCTGGATAAACAGCAAACAAGTGCGCTGGAGAGGGGGAGGGTCTCATACGACTAGGCAAATACCGCTGACCACCACCACCAGTACCTCACTACTTTCATAACAAGTTTGGTCGCGTCCTCTCAACACGGAAAACGATTTAACGTTTTTCGTCCGTTTACACGAAATACGATAAATTCCCGAGGCTACAGCGTGTACTAGTTAAAGCGAGGGTTAATGCCTGCCTAATACCACCCGAATTACCAATTAAAAAATAACAAGTACGTGTGTGTGTGTGGGGGGGGGGGGTTAGGGGTTCGTTGTGGACGTGTAAATCCAAAACATAAATACGGAGGTGTCGATTGTGTAAACCTGAAATACGTAGGTGTCGATTGTGTAAACCTGAAATACGGAGGTGTCGATTGTGTAAACCTGAAATACGGGGGTGTCGATTGTATAAACCTTAAACGAAACCGGGCATCTCGACCTCAGACTCGTGGCCAAGTATTCCACTGCATACTGTAGACACCGAACTGTATCCCCAGCCATTTTGTTCTCTAAGTGATCATTCATCTATGAACCTGTGTACGTACGTCAATATAATAATAATAATAATAATAATAATAATAATAATAATAATAATAATAATAATAATAATAATAATAATAATAAATTTATATCTACTCCAATAAAAAAAAATCTGCTCATGAATAAAACTGAAATCTAATTAAGATCGCCACTGAAGACAGTACTATATAAATGTCTCGTGAGAAGACCTACAGGAACTTATTTCCACCGACAATTCTACGGTCATAACTGTCCACCTTTAGACATTAATACAGTATGATCCAACACCTACAAAAATAAAAACGTGGCGTAAACCCACACAAAAAAAGTCTTTAGGTGTGTATGTATATTTTACAACACCTCGGTGCAGTGGTGAGCTGCTCCTTGACGACGCGACGTCCAAGTGAGACTGTTCTCAGCTGGACAAGAGGACAGCCCTTCTACTCAAGATGAAGCAGTGGCTATCACCTGACGGCAGAGTCTCGAGGTGTACAGTGTCGTATCGGTACTATTTTCGCTACCAAGTTTGTACCGCAGCTTAAGTGAGCTCGTGAGATATTTCCTCACACCACCAGTAAAGAAGATCTCAGGTGGGAGCTCTCAGAATGGAGGTAGTGAGTGACCTTTCACCCACGGAGGTGGTATGTTGCGACGGTAGTTACTTAACGACATCTGAGTGAGGGTCACTTCCACTTAAAACTGTTTTACTGTGGGCTCTTGCCCCCTTATTTCAGAACTCGCTTTGTCTACTCTAGAGTGTGCGGACATGTGTGTGTTTCTTTATCTCAAAGACACACACACACACCCACATGGTGTTTGATGGATTGATAAAACCTTAGAAAATATTCACAAATAATGCAGAGAAGAGGGGGATGGTCACTCACCTGGCAGGGCCGACTATCCTTCACTCATTTATCCTGTTGTCGCGCTCTGTAACGAAAAAAAAAACTACATCAGCAAACTCAGTCAAAAACCATAACATCAACCCACAATAAACACAACAATGTCAATAAGTGAGAAATAAATCGCACATGCATCATATTTATAGTCTTAATCAACGCTTGTATTGTATTTCCATACATAAAAATTTTCTTCAAAGAAATTCACTTCGTACACACACACACACACACACACACACACTTCAATGACCTTTTTTTATCTGATGTCTTCTATTTACTCCCCGTCTTTGTTCCACCTTCCAACTTCTTCACATTGGAGCGTGACAACGATTCGCTTTCCGTAACTTAAGTGATTTTGTGTACAAGTAACAACAAATACAGTACATAATAATAATAATAATAATAATAATAATAATAATAATAATAATAATAATAATAATAATAATAATAATAATAATAATAATAATAATAATAATAATAATAATAATAACAATAATAATAAAATAATAGAATGAGTTTTACAATCAACAGTAAGTAAAGTACAGTACATGGTTGGAGAGAGAGTATATTAAACGCGCATACAAACACAGGTAAGAGTTCTACCCACTGCGAACGTTCGTCTGGCATTATTTCTGTACAGTAAGTGTGTCAGTGCAGGTGGTAGTGAGGCCAGCAGAGGTAGAGGTTGGAGGGAAGTATCCGATGGCGGGAGTATGACAGGGGAGGAAACAGTGGAGGGAGGGAGGCTGGCACAGGGGGCATGAGCTATATTTGTGTTGGCACTGGCAGCCACAGTGCCCGAGCCGGCGCGTGCCACCCGGCATACACTGCCAACCACCACCCATTCTCACGTCCTACCATACAATGGCAACCATTATCACAATCAGACATACACTGCCACCCACCGCCCTTCTCACGTCATACCATACACTGCCACCCACCGCCCTTCTCACGTCCTACCATACACTGCCACCCACCGCCCTTCTCACGTCCTACCATACACTGCCACCCACCGCCCTTCTCACCCATACCATACCTGCCACCCACCACCGCCCTTCCTCACGTCCTACCGCCACTGCCACCACGCCTTCTCACGTCCTACCATACACCACCGCCCTTCTCGTCCTTACCATACCTGCCACCCACCGCCCTTCGTCCACCATACACTGCCGCCACCCACTTCCTTCTCGTCCTACCGCCCACTGCTGCCACCGCCCTTCTCACGTCCGCCTCCATACACTGCCACCCACCGCCCTTCTCGTCCACCATACACCCACCCCACCCTTCTCGTCCTACCATACACTGCCACCCACGCCTTCTCAAATCCTACTACATACCTGCCACCCACCACCGCCCTTCTCGTCCTACCATACCTGCCACCACCACCCTTCTCGTCCTACCATACACCACCCACCGCCCTTCTCACGTCCTACCATACCTGCCACCCACCACCGCCCTTCTCGTCCTACCATACACTGCCACCACCCTTTCTTCTCGTCCTACCATACCTGCCCACCCGCCACCGCCCTTCTCCACGTCCTACCCATACACTACCACCCACCACCTTCTCGTCCCTACCATACCCTGCCACCCTACGCCCTTCTCGTCCTACCGCCACACTACTACCCACCGCCCTTCTCGCCCTACCATACACCTGCCACCCACCGCCCTTCTCACGTCCTACCATACACACCCACCGCCTTCTCACGCCCTACCATACCCTGCACCACCCACCGCCCTTCTCCGCCCTACCATACACTACCACCCACCGCCCTTCTCGTCCTCATACCCTGCCACCCACCGCCCTTCTCCGTCCTACCATACACCACCCACCGCCCTTCTCACGCCCTGTATACCCTGCCCACCCACCGCCCTTCTCACGCCCTACCATACACTGCCACCCACCGTCCTTCTCACGCCCTACCATACACCCACCCCACCGCCCTTCTCACGTCCTACCCTAAACTACCGCCTACAGCACTTAATTTCATTGGTCCATCATGATCAATGTCTTCCCTTATGCCTCCTACCCTATCCTTATTTCAACCCATCAATATCGCTACCATTATTATCTCCTCATCCCTAATCCTAAGACCAAAGTATCCTTTATTTAACAGGTGATCCATTGTTGTTAGTACCTTCCCTGAGCCTCATATCTGTACCGCCTGAATGCCCGTTGCATGTGTGTGTGTGTGTGTGTGTGTGTGTGTGTGTATGTGTGTGTGTGTGTGTGTGTGTGTGTGTGTGTGTGTGTGTGTGTGTGTGTGTGTATTTTTTACTATATAGGTCATATGTCACTTATGGCACCAGTCTGATACTCATGCCACCCGTGTGCCACCCGCCCACCTGAATCCCAACAGTGCCACTAATGCTAATCTCACCATCCAGTACCCTCATGCTCACCTGACCCACAGTGCCACTCATGCTCACCTAACCCACCAGTGTCACTCATGCTTCACTGGCCCACCAGTGCCACTCATGGTTACATGTGACCCACCAGTACCACTCATGCTCACCTGACCCACCAGTGCCACTCATGCTCACCTGACCCACCAGTGTCACTCATGCTTACACTGACCCACCAGTGCCACTCATGGTTACCTGACCCCACCAGTGCCACTCATGTTCACCTGACCCCACCAGTGCCACTCATGCTCACACATTTTCAGTGCCTCATGCCCACCTGTGCCACTCTTGCCTGACCCTCCAGGTACTAATGTTCTGACCCACCAGTGCCACTCATGCTCACTGACCCGCCAGTGCCACTCATGCCCACACCCCCACCAGTGCCACTCCATGTTCACCTGACCCACCAGTACCCTCATGTTCACCCTGACACCAGTGCCACTCATACCCACCTGTGCCACTCACCTTGCCTGGGCCTCCAGTGCCACTAATGTTCACCTGACCCACCAGTGCCACTCATGCTTACCTGACACAGTGCCCTCATGTTCATGACCCACCAGTGCCACTCATGTTCACCTGACCCACCAGTACCGCTCATGAACACTGACCCACCAGTGCACTCATGCTCACCTGACCCTGGTGCCCTCTGGCCTCACCTGACCCACCTGCACTTCCGCCACTCACTGGCGCACCAGCGCACTCCTTGCCCGCTTCAGTGCCACTAATGTTCACCAGCCCACCAGTGCCACTCATGCTCACCTGACCCACCAGTGCCACTCATGCTCACCTGACCCCACCAGTGCCACTCTTGCTTACCTGGCCCACCAGTGCCACTCATGCTGCTCACTGACCCACCAGTGCCACTCATGCTCACCTGACCAACCAAAGTGCCACTCTTGCTTACCTGACCCACAGGTGCCTCTTGCCTGGGTCATCTCTGTCCAAGCAGAGACATGTGTGACTCAGTGATGTCTGTGGGTCCGTAACTGCTATATCACTCCCACACGGATATGACACAACTTGCTGCCACTTGCACCAAAACCAACTATCGCAAGTCTTCCCACTACTAATGGCAGATTTCGACAAGACCAGTTGTTTTAATGAGGAACTTTACTGTTTCTGGGGTCAAGACGACTACGTTTCCAAATGGCTAAGAACATTGTTATCACATTACCAAGATGCCCATAAAAATTAATTTAATGACAATTTCCCAACAACTTGCGTGTATCAGTGCAAAATGTTATCATTACACTTAAACACAACCACCGTTACAACAGCTGACACTCATTTACTCCCAAGGCTAAGGATCATTAACATTAGTATAATTTAAATTAACACTTTCTTTAATGTCTATTATTATTATTATTATTATTATTATTATTATTATTATTTATTATTATTATTATTATTATTATTACAGTTGGGCGAGGTACCGGCATGTTGACATCTATTACTATTATCATTCTAATGTAATAATTTTCTTTAATATCTTAGACATGATCCTTACTACTACCGCAAGATGACGTCGACAGAAGGAGCCCCCTACTTTGAACTCAAAATCTGAGACGAGGCCAAGCATCAAGTGAGATGAGGCGTGGAGAGAAATTACGCGTACGGTGAAGTGAGGATGCGTGCGTGATGGTCCACAAAGAATTTAAAGCAAAACCAAAACATTTAAACGAAAATAAAATAATGTATGTTCTTGCATATGATTATAAAATGTTTTTTTATATAACCTACGACTATAATGTCAAAAGTCTGTATGTTAACTTTTCCCGGAATAATAAAAGATAATACAACTACGCCAATTTACGTAAAAATCTCAATGCAGTTACGTAAGTTTGTAATATAAATTGAGCTACTGTAGCCAGGTACAGGTACTCAATGTTCTCACATCCTCATTTACCTACTGTTAGGATATTGCAATTTATTCTTTCAACCACAAAATTCACTAGACAATTCAACACCTTTAAATTTCAACTACACGCACACACACACACACACACACTAATAATAATAATAAAAATAATAATAATAATTATAAATCAGTACAGTAAATGACTTATCAACTAATTTCCCATATACTTAAGAGTTGTTAACAACCATCATATACACTGGTGGATGAGTCGCAACACACTGGAGACATATTGCCTGAGTGACAGTACAAATCATTTTAAAACCAATGTAATTTGTAAATTTGTCAGTTACTAGGGACGTCATACATAGAAAGAACTTGGTCAAAAGGTCAATTCATTGAAAACGTATTTACAAGACTCTTAATACCCCACTTTGACTTTGTGCCGGTGCAGCATAATCATAACATAAGCTCTTTTTCAGGAGGACTTTTACAGTGTTTAAAACTCCACTGCTTTTAGTCCACTGGAAACATAAGTAAGTCCACAGCACGGACACAAACGAGTACACTTTGAACAAACGGTGCGAGTCTCTGCCATCCAGGACACAAATAAACATAAAACTAAGTAGCAAAATAAGATAAAAAGAAGTACAGCAGTAGAGTATGTTGCACTAGATATAACGTTAAGAACAGCAGGTAAAATAGTCGTGTATGAAGAACAGGAAATACTGAAGTGGTGTGTGAGGAAGAGGAAATAGAGTGGTGTGGTG